CACTTATTTGACCTCCTCTTAGTAAATGGCAGGAATCTATCAACAGCTTCTCATCCCAAATCCAAAACACAGTCCCGCACCAGCCTCTGCGAAGAAAACCAGCTCCATCCTGGCTGAAACCAGGACAGCATGGAATCATGCTTATACACCCTGATTTATAAAGGGATGAAGACATGTAGGCATGCCATACTGAATTCAGTATCATTATCAAATCAAGTTGATATTCAAGTGTTTGAAATCAAGACATCTTGTTCCTTCACAGATAAAGCTGTTCCACTGATGTAATAGAAGAGAAAGGCATGTCTATCAAATCAGTTACATGTAAAGCAACAAGGATTAAAGAGAGGGCAATAAATCCACTAGAAATCACAAACGATGTTGTCTTCGGTGAAGAATACACTACTGAAAAAGTACTTACCCATTAGGTAATGTAGCAAGCCCCAAAACAAAATAGCTTACTGGAATACTGACTATTCACATGTTTAAAAATAGTGATTTAGGACTCAAATTTCAAAAAAACTAGCCTTTTTATGAAACGGAAGGTTTAAGGTTTTTCTTATTTGATTTCTAGGAGTGGTAGCATTTGTCGTCCCCATTGTTAAGCTTTGCTGTGTAACAATAAGAATTATGTATCTTTTTACAAGATCACCTGAGATTATCAAGAAATAGACTGATGCCCATAGCAAGGGCTCCGAGTCGAGTATGAAGTATCAAAAAAACTTTGACTTGTGCTGAGGAAGTCACAATGTTATCCTTTCTCTCTTTTCTTTCAGAAAAGGATCTGGGAGTTCTGGTAAACAACAAGTTGAAGGAACATGAGTCAGTAATGCACCCACACAACCAAGACCAACAGCCCCCTGGGCTGCACTAGGAAGCGCATTGCCAGCAGGTGGAGTGAGATGATCCTTCACTTCTACTCAGCACTGATGAAACATCTGGAGTACTGGGTCCAGTTCTGGGTTCCCCAATTCAAAAGAAACATGGACATACTGGAGTGATACCAGCAACGGGCCACAAAGATGATTAAGGGATTGGAGCACCTGTCATAGAAGGACAGAATAAGAGAGCTGGGACTGTTTAGCCTCAAGAAGAGATGTTTCAAGAGGGATCTTATCAACGTGTATAAATACTTTATGAGAACAAGTACACAAGATGGAGCCAGACTCTTCAGTGGTATCCAATGAAAGCATAAGAGGCAATGGGTACAAATTGAAATACAGGAAATTTAATTTAAAAATAAGAAAAATCTTTTTCCCTGCAAGGGTGGCCAAACACAGGTACAAGTTGCTCAAAGAGGTTGTGGAGTCTTCATCCTTATGATGTTCAAAACCCAGCTGGACACGGCCCTGAGCAACCTGCTGTAGTTAACGCTGCTTTGAGCAGAGGATTGGACTAGTAGATCTCCAGAGCCGCCTTCCAACTGCAACTATTCTGTGATTCTATTGTCCTTCAGTGTCTAAAACTTAACCTATTTTTTCACCTTCGATGTCTGAAAGCAAATCTGAGCTTTCCCTCCAAATTACTTAACACCTGACTAGTTCTATCACTACTGGATATGATTTAAAGAGGTTAGAAATAAGGAAAAACCAAAGGCTTTTTTGAAGGAAACATATGTGAAAACTTTGGCAACTGCAGAAGAGAAAGGATGTAAAGGCTGTTCTATAGGGGATGTATTTCAAAAACACCCACACAACAGAGTCCAAAGACTCATTAACCCCAGGCTATAGGAGAGAGGTGTATTTTTAGCCACAAAGGGCTCAGTTCTGTCAAGGTTTAAATCAAGGCTGAAGATGGAAGGTTTGTGAGCATGGCATGCGTAGAGCCTGCATTCTGATTCAGTCAAAACTAATTAGACCTTCCAAGCAACCTCCTTCTACTCCTGTGTATACAACACTTATGGAAACATTTGTCTCCTCCTTTCCCTGAGTCATGAGGTCATGGAAAACTAATGTTCCTCACGGTTCTTCAAGTGGCTGTACCACACTGGCATGGAATAAAAGAAAATATTGAAAACTCTACTGAGAGGAGGTCCAGCAGCCTTGGCAGAGAGGCATCATGTCATAAAAGAAGCCCACCAGTGTCTTTGTAATTGTAATATTCAAAACATACCAGAGCTTTAAAATAAAAAGTATTCTCTTTGAAGGGAAGAAGTGCTCCCTCTTGGGTCACTATGTAGATGCCACCCTGCAAACTATTACCTCCCTGTCTGCTACTGAGTCTTCATAGCAATATTCAGCCAATGGTAGCAGTCCCAGCTTAAGGACTATTACCCATTCGTATGAATGAGGGAAGGTGTCTTTTCTGAGGATGTCTGAGGTCTGTGTGAGGAGCTACTGTTCCTCAACACCTTCCTCCTGGAGAAGAACTCTGTGAGGGAATCACTACAAAGTAGGTAGGCCTGTTTTCTTCCCTTTCTCCTTTGCATAGAAGAAAGGTGATCAAAGCCACATAATTTCTTTTTACACTTCATATATCTAGTTTCCAGCTCCTGAGGGACAAACTCTATAGCAAGGATATATTGTGAATCCTTGATTGGTTCAGTGCTATTTGGACTGATGGATCCAAATAGCAATGACGAAGACCTGGACAAATAAATTTCTGATAAATAATTCAATCAGGTGTATGGAGACAAATGCCGTTTCTTCTGCGGGCTACAGAAGAGTCACAGTTCTTTCTCAGTGCTTGAGAGTCCATAATTAGCATAGCCCTACAGTGAGGACTATCATTTTACATTAAAGATTCCATCATTTGGGAGTTGAAACTGCAGATTATTTTGCAAAGCATGGCCAAGATAAATCTTATTATTTAAAACAAATCTTTATAAGTATTGACAAATGTAATAAAATTTCAAACACGAAAGCAAAAGGGAAATTTTTACATTTCAATTCCAGCACTGTAAAGGAAACTCCTTCATGCTTAAAATTCAAACTCCGTGTGTCAAGTAATTTCACTGTTACAGACTTGAATCACCTGCACTGGCCAGAGGGTGTTATTCACTCCTTGAGAAAAATAACACTTTAATATTGCTATGATTTTCCCAAGTAATTTTTATGCAGAAGCCGGGATGAATTTGAAACATCCATTTCACAATTAAAGTGATGACATTTGGTGACTTCAGAGAACCATATAATTGAGAATTTGTCTTAGGAATGAGCCCAAAATTAAATATGGGAATGAGAAAACAATATTAATAAAAGGACCAATGTTTTGCTTTCTTTGCTTAACTTCTGGGATGTGGATATTAAATAGGGTTATAAAATACAAATAAACTCTTACTTCAAAAATGTTTATAGATGCATATTGAATGCTTGAGCTATATGGAAAAGACCATGAAATTGTGGGCCACTGTCCCAGCCCACTTAATAATTTCTGCCACATGCAGGAGGAAAGATAATCTTCCCACTTGGTTTTAATGGATCCATTTTTGGAAGCACTGAATTATTAATCTCTTTTAGGGGTTGTTTGCTGTCTGATCATTTGTTATCGTCATATGAAGTTGGGGGCTGATCCCAGAGCATGCTCTGAAGAGGCTTAACTCCACAGCAGAGCCTGACATGAACTAAGAAGTTCCATCATTGACCTAGATAGGGCAAGAATTTAATGGAAGAATAAAAGTCCTTACTCAAAAGTGTATATCAAAAACCTTTCAGCAGCATGCTTCCAGGTGAAACACTGGATGAATTAGTTCTCTTGTGAGCATATGGCTTTGAAGAAATGTGCAGAGACAAAAACTGATGCTTTCATATAATGGATTCTACTAGTAAAATAGGGTAATGGGGAGTACCCAATGTTTGTATTATTTAAATCAAGTTTATTGTAGGATAGTAGATGAAAAATTTCACTATGTTAAAAAGTAGTAGAACGTATTAAAGAAAGCAAGTGAACAGATTCATTCTTTTCTTGAAGACTTCCCAGATTCTTCCCAGTCTCACTATTTGTATGAGGCCACTTCATTACAAAATCAGCCGTAAATGTTGGTGTCTTGATTCACTACTTTCAACGTAACTACTTGTCTTGGTAAAATATTTTCTTTAACTCTCCAAGAATCTCATTACCAGGTTTTTCACTATAGTAAAACGTTGATTAACTAAATTAAACCTCATTAAAGTATAATGAGGTTTAGGAATAACGGTTGGGCATTGAGAAAATTTTTCTTTTAAGTAACTGATAGAGGCTAGGGGAACATGACATGGGAGGTTTTAATAACTGACGTGGGGATAACGCAGGTTCACATGTGTATTAGCCCTTATCACTGAATCCAGCATCATCCTTAAATTCTTGCTCTGTGAGCCAATGAAGGCTGAAAACATCACTGAGGACAAGAAGCAGTAAGTACTTTAATGAATGAAATATGTAAAATTACCCATAATAGAAGTTAATTAGTCTTCTCTTGTATCTGCACTGGTTTTGCCCAAGATTCAGTCTGGTTGGGAAAGAACAGCATTGTAAAGCAGGGAGAAGGGATCAAAAAAAAAAAACAAAAGGCCTCCTTCCAGAACTACTACCCTGGTTTTTGACAGGTAACGGTAGAAAGACTCACCAATGACTGGTCTTCTAAAACCACGGTAGGAAATCAACCAGTGAACCTAAGTAACTGGGGAAATCTGTCACATAACCTAAGCATACTGTGCTGTTGCTTACTGCAGTAGGAGAAATTTAAAGTTATAAGAAGTAACTGTGATCTAGCTGTGCGTGATCCACTGCCTACTGAAGTCAATTATCATTATTTCAATTCACTAAATCACGTATTAGATTCCAGCCACTAAAAAAACTAATAGTAACCAAACTATTCGAGCCACTAAAGAACCAGTAGTAACAAAACTAATATACCACAGGATAAAATAAAACAGTACGGTGTCAAAATTTACAATTCTGACAATATATCATAACGTTAGCTGAAATGAACTTAGTGCCTTTTCTCCTTTAGCTAAATCTTTTTATTATTTATCTTTACCTAAATTATTTCAATGTTTTAATTTTTCTGCTAAGCTTTTACTTACTTGAATAAAGATTTCTTTTTGTTGTTCTTCCTCTTCTGCTACTGAAATGCAGCCCTGATGACTCTATCGCTAAGTGGCTGAGTTGGTCTGAAGTTATCTCCTAGGATTCCATCACAGCCTTCTAAAAGTTCAGCACCTTTAACATGTGTCCTCAGTCTACGAAATTCCTCTATCTGAAAGGCAGAAAAAGAGACATGAAGAAGTTGAGATACACTCTTCACTATGGGACTAATGATCAAAATCAGCCCCACCCAGCTCCTTCTGCAGCTTTAAAACTTGGAGTGTTCAGGTACTATGGTACTAGGGTCAATATACATCATTAATACAATTTTAAAATAGTTGTCAGCACTGTCAAAACATTTAACACGTAGAGAAAAACATGAACTTTTATGCGCATGGTTTGGCAAACTTATCCTTTGCTTTTTTGTAACTCCTTTTGGGATCTATAACCTTCTTAGCCATTGTAGAGTGAGAGTAATCATTCTGGTCTTCTTCAAAGCGCATTTCAGGAATAACATGGTTGACTATAAATTGTTTTGAATTTGTTCCAGTGATTTATTTATTGCCTGAAATTGTTGCTTTATTTAAATAAAAATTACTTTCTAAACCAGCTGAATTCTGAACAGACTCTTAGCTTTAGAGGAAGTCTGTTGACATTTTATATGGAAAAACATGGTTTTTCCAATCAAAACAAAATACCACTTCAAAAGTTCTGTAGATGTAGGTGCTAAGTGTACTTAGAAAATCAAATACAGTCAAAAATCAATATAAAACATTTCAAAGGGTCCAAAACAAATATACTTCTGGTTTATTGACTCTTTTTAGATTCTTCTAATTCTGCTCTGGTGTAGGGAAGATTCCATCTCCATGTTTGGTATCAGCATCAAGCTCTGTGTGATAAAAAACTAAGAAAACCAAAACATATGTCAGCCACATATTTTATTGTTCAACAGTGCTGTTTTTAAGAATCTGGCATTTTAAATTAGTAATTTCAACTACTAAAAAAATCGTGTTTGTTTTTGCTTTGGCATATTGACAAGCTATCTTGGCTGGATACAGCAAACCTACTTGAAGGCTGACTACCCTAGCCTGAGCCTTTGTATCTGTACTGACCCTGTGATGCCTCACTATCCAGCTCAGCTGTAACTTGAAACTGAAGCTACACAGAAAGCAAAATGGACCCTGAAGAACCTAATCATTTTATCATCTAAGAAATTATACGGAGTGAACTTCGCCATGAAGAACACCCTATGAAGGATTACAGGGAGAATGGAAGTGTGATACCAGAATTAAAAGAAATGAGGTACTAAACAGACAGTAATGGCATTTTTGTTCTTATATGGCCTGCAGAGAATACTTTCTTACTGCAACCTGGAAGACAACTGCCTTCACTGTTGTTTTCCACTCTACAGCAGAATTGATACCGATTTATTTACTTGATTTAGAGGCTAGCTCTGCTCTGCTGTATTTTCCTCAAAAAAAAAGTGTGCTTAGAAATGAACACAGCTTCTTGCAGCTGAGATATAAGGCAACAGCTTAGACTCAAAAGTTGAAAAGCAGAACGAACTATAAATCTCCTTGAAGGTGCTTTTAGACGCAGATTCTTATTTTCGAATATTTTTTTTTTAATGTTTATTTAAAGCAAACTTAAAACAAACCCAATATAGGCTTGGAACTGAAAAAGTCTTCAGGAGTCAAGTGCTGGTAAATCGCTGAACGGGTTTTGTAAAGGAACCCTCTTTCACCACCTGACACAACTCTGGAAAGTCTGAAATAGTTTAGGAAAGAGCATTTTACAAGAAGGTGGTTTTTGTTTGATCTTTTGAGAATGAGAGACTTCAAACAAACACAGATGAAGGAGAGGGAAGACCAGACTCTCTGCAAAGTTGGCATTTGTGAGCTATCTCCCATTATAACTACAAATGCTCTGCCCCAGTCCTCACAGTGAAATCTTTGTCTGGGAAGTGCTCCTCACAAAGCAGCTTTCAGTTTCTTCAGTCAGGAAAGTAGGACTGACCTGATCCCCGTGCCTGCTCTTTAATCTTCAGTGAAATCAAGAATTGCAGCCCTGCTCCGAGGGGGAGTTGCTTCTGAGATCACCAACCTCCTTGTTTAGTTCCTCATATCATGGTTCAGACCCCCGTGACAGAGATCCTCTACGCATGCGGTGGCCCATCTCACTCGTGAGAAGTGGTTCTGTCAGAAAAGGACACTAGCTGTGCTGACACTACTTTCCCCGTTAAATTTCCATGTGATAAGGCAATATGTCTGCCCCACTCATCCTGCTTCACCTCATATGGAACCACTTACTATCTTGTCCCAACCCCTCACCAGTCAATGATGTGAAGTACACCCTGTAGGACTGCCCAGGAAATAGATATTTTAGAGGCACACAGCTAAGCACCCTTGGATATTCACAGGCTTTCAAGAGGAATAGCCATTTATAAAAGTTTTTCTCATGCCCAGAGAACACTGAGGATGACCTAGGCCTGTTCACACCAAAATGCAGGATCAAATTCGAACCAGTGAAGGGGCAAATCCACAATGTTAACAGTCACTTTTCTGCTGAGTAAAAGCATTTAGCTTATATTTTGTAGAATTTTGCTGCAATGTTTTTACCGCTTCCCTGTATTTAGATCTTGAATACTGCTTTCTTCTGTTTCACTTAAATATTTGCTGAAGAATAGAAAACACAGAACAAAGAATTTGCGTGGTTTTCTCTTCTCTCTCACAAACATTTCTTCTATATGAGGAATAGAAGCATTATCGTCCTGCTTGAAAATTTCGCATGCCTCCATGACACCTTCCAAGAACACAGACCTGCTTCCCAGTGAACAGAATACCATGAACCTTTCAGAGTGCTTTATTTCACAGACCACATAAATTTTGCACAATTCCCACTCCAGTTCCATACGCTAGTTACTATTTCTGTCCTTTAGGAGGTTGTGATTTTGAATGAGGTAGGTAGACAAAAGGACTAGAGACCTAGTCATTCAATACAAAACCAGTTACGTCTGGCAATGAGTACAGCAGAACGACAGCTCCTTGCTGCATCATTGTTTAAAATCCCTACTCTGAGTGGCTTAGACAATGTACGTGTTCTGGGCTTCAGTGAACCACAAAGCACATTATTCACAAATGTCTTATTTTTTTTAAATATAGTGGAGAGAAGCATGAGCAAGTCTTTTTTAATTATTTCCTGCTCTTTACTGGCCTAATAGGAGGGAGTTTTCTATTTTCTCCCATTGCATTTCAGCGGTGTGCACACATGGGCAAGGTATCTCAGAAAAGCAGTCAACACAGTTCTTCCCAGGCTGCATATTTCAACATAAGACAAGTGAGGATGATAAAAAACACAGAAGGAGGGCAGGAATATGCAAAAAGAGCACTGCAGGGTGCAGCTTTCCAGATAAGCTCCTTTCCACCGAGGTCAGTAATAAAACTACAAGAACCAGATCTTCAAAGCCCTTATCCTCCAGGGGAGAAGAGTCACCTGCACGCTTCATCCAGGCTTCATAGAACTGATTGTGAAGGAAAAGGCTCTCTGATGGAAGTGAAGCCTCACGTCAAAGAAAATTACTTCCAGTGAGGAAACGGCATTGGGCTCCAGGAAAGCACATCCTGACACTGCAGTCCTGGCTTATTCTTTTGCTACTGATATAACCAACACACTCAGATCCCAGCTGCTGAAGTGAGGTGCACATGGAGGTGAATCTCCTTTCACTTAACACTGATTTAGATCAGTAGCAAATCAACTCATCAGCTGAAGTTTACTATCCGTAAATGTCTTCAGGAGAAACAGAAAAAGGTTCTCTACCTTGCAATGGTCAGCCTAATATGCCTATATATGCCAAAATAGTTACTTCTCCATTGTTTCAAAATAAGCAAATGTGAAACTACATAGATGTGACTGTGAACTAGAATTGTGACTTTATTAATTTTTCCCCTTATGACCCACAGTTTGTTAAGCTAAGCACTATCGCCACATTAATTACAGAAAATGAGAATGTGAATGAGTATCTTGCCTCCAGTATTTTAACTAGCTTCATCAAAGGAAGGCAATAAAAACCATTCCATATCAGATTGTGTCGTCCTTTATTGTTACTTTATTGGCAGTCAAAGTTTATTATTTTATGGCCTGAAAAATGGAAATAGAAAGCCTTGAATTTGTCTCTTACCGGCTACAACCACAGATGCTACTAGTATTTATATAAATCGGTTGAAGTTTCATAAGCTGTGTCCATTAGTATCCCACAGAAGAAAGTTCTACAAGTTAATGACACATGTAAAAATGATGTATTTAAATCCATTAGAAATGCATTTGCACTGAAATCTATGCTTTAATACTACAAGCAGGCGCAATAAAATTAAATGCCTTTACCAACCTTCCATGGATAATTGAGGATGGTATATGCTATACTACATCCTCTTATTTTCCATAGACAAAAGCCCTTGCACTTCTAATCTCTTGTTAAATGGAATCTCTCATAGGCACTCATGCCCACATGCACAAAAGAGGCCAGACAGATACTTAATTGCAGCCAAAATGATAATTACAAGTTAAAATCTTGGATGTCGAGGCTATAGCAAAATATTCTGTCACTCCCTGAATCTTGTTTTGGGCATCCTGGAGAACTCTCAGTCCCTTTGGACTTTAGAATCCCAGAATCACCATCTCTGACTTACTTGTCCACATATTTATTTTCAACTGACATCTGAAAGCGGTATCTGATGCAAGTAAAATTTTTATGCCACGTTGGCAAAAGTCCTTCATGTTCTTAATAAGTCTTTTCTGCACAACGTTGACTTTAATGCTTCTGCATTCATAAGTAGCAGTGAGGAATTTTTTTCTAATTGATGCTGATCTATGACAAGCACAAAGTATTGTGGATCATAGTGGCATAAATCCTCACCAATCTCTCTGTTCCAGTGCCCCATCTCAGCTGCATACTGTGTCAGTGGCAGGGAAAAAGCCCCTCCATGACTTGTGTACCCTTCATAACTGCAGCGTTCTTGCTGGATTGGGTTTATACCAATCAAAGTAACGCGGTAACACCAATCAGCTACCCCTCACCTAAAGAAGGCCATGGTTATGAATCACACTCTTTTCCCCAGGCACAGTATTCTCTTCTGGAGACTTATCCTCTTCACACCACGTTCCAGCATCTTGGTTTTTTGTGGTAAATGAGTACATAATAATATTAACTAAAGTTGCATTTCTCTGCTTAATTCCTCTTTCATTCACCCTCTCGCCACCTCACACCACATGTGGATGGCTTGCACTGTGCCCTCCTCTGTGCATTGGCTGGATTAAAATCTGCAACTAGAATGAAATAAAATATCATACTATGTCTTCTTGTAATAGCTATGGTCTTTATACTCCTGATTAAGTTCTCTTATTTATCCATATCATATCTGGACAATTAGCTGCCAAGTTACAAAACGCACGCTGTCTTTAAAAGTTATTCTGAATCTAATAATGCCAACAGAGTTCTGTTTCCACTTACTCAGCAGTAAGCAGCCATAAGACATATCTTTTCATAAGCAAATAAATACCAGATTCATGACGGGATACATTGAAGTTGCAGCTACCATACAAATAAGCTTATTGGGAGCTATTGCTTTTATCCTACAGTTAGAACTAGAATTCAGTTTTCATATGAAAAGAAACACTGCTAATTTGAAACTGTTAAAATCATTAAAAATATTGTGCTGGCATGAATAGAAAAAATTTAGATTATTAATGCTTAAATAATTTAAATCTGAATTTATCACCTTTTATACTTTTTCCCTTCTGTTTGCACATGCTTCAGAGTTGGCAATGAAAATTAACACATTCAGCTTCCGGGATTCTAGAAAGTTTCATTTAAATTAAACCCACATTCCTCCAGCTGGGATTCACAGACTGTGGGAGAATATTCATCAGGAGTTTTTATTGTTTTCACTGGGATTATTTGTAGACAGGTTTGAATGTTTTCTATAGAAAGGTTCACATGACTGTTAAGATATGATTTTAAAAAAAACACTTTAAAATACATACATGTGAAATGAAATTTAAATAGGTAGTTTCCAGTTGACATTTATTATAAAACAAAAATTAAAAAGGGCAAGATAAGTTAAATATAGTTCAATGCAATATAGCTAGCCTGTACTATGTTAACATTTTTCATTGTCCAGGACATAGTGTCGCCCTGTACTTTTTTGTTCCTTTAACATCAAAAAGCAGTGATATTTGAAAGCTTACAATTACAAAGAATTGAATTTCTTTTGCCCATTGACTTCTTTCTTTCTTTTTCTTTCACTTAAGTACAGCATGATTTTAAATGCAGATGATAAATGATAACAAGGTTTTTCATCTCTGACCTTTGCATTGCTTTCAGTGACTCAAAAGGCTTAACCTTTACTTTAAAAGCCATGTACTGATCTAATGGGATCTTCAAGGAGAACAGATATAATGTCCTGATATATATATATTTGCACGCTATAACCTTTAGCTCATAACCATATTCCAAGGTCACTTTAAGCACAGCTGTTACCTGCACTTGGGACACAGTCAAAGGATAGCGAAATAATATCCAGGTGACACCTTCACTGCAGGGTGGAATGGTTAAAGACCCCTCATACACCCAGTAGTCACGCAGAAGAGGATCTGAAATTAAAAGAAACGTGGAATTTTAATGACATTAAGGAAGATAATTGTGTCTTTCAATTACGACAGCTTATGATAGCCATGGGCTTGCTCATATGATGAAGTTAGTATGCAGTAAGCTAAGGAATTTATAACCCGCCAAGCACTGTCCACTGCTTTCACAGGTGAATGTACATGGGCTTGTGGTCATTATATTTCAGTAAGTTCCCCCTGCAGATGAGTGTTTTAAAGATGAAAATGACACATTATGGTTGTAAAAAATAACATGTGCACAACTCCTTAAACTAACACAGCAAATAAATATGGTGGGAAAGAACACCTATTAGTGTCAAAAGCTACAAAAGTCATCCCATTTTGAAGGCACAGGGGCTGTGGTGATCAAATTTTAACTGACTTCTACATTTAGGATATGTCTCAAGCATGAATTTATTTCATTTTTTAGAAAAATTCAGTGAAAACAGCTCAAGCCAAACTTTTCAGGTCACAATTCTGGTGACGTATTTTTTGAGATGCACTGGTGCCTCCTAGCTTTGGAAAAGTGAGCTGAATTTCACAGGGCAAAAAAAACCAAGGTTTATTTAAGAACAAACTTATTTTAATAACTTTATAAACTTACTCATAGGTTTATAAATAACTGTTAGAATACACAGTTGTCTCTCAAGAAAACATAAAATGGTTTGTCCAAGCAGAGTTTTAACTCTACATACAACACATTTGATTTTAATTATTATCATTTTAATTCCTCAAACTTTACATACAACACATTTGATTTTAATTATTATCATTTTAATTCCTCAAAGATTCCAGTCACACCGGACCTCGTAAGTGAGACTACACAAGGCTGTAGGCCATACTCACAAATGACTCCCTGACAAGGGAACAAGTACTGAGAGGAAAATGCCTAACTGTAAAGGAGGGGACAAGAAACAAACTTAGAGAGGAACTGGAGACAAAGGGTGGTTAATCATAGCATGGAGAGCTAGGGGGAAGGTTGTGACTAGGAGAGAATGGGAGATTGGAAATTAATAAACTTGCCTGGTTGACCTAACCTCTTACTGCCAGTTCACTACTAACTCAGAAGAGTAGCAGTACAATTAAATCTTGCTAATGAAGCCTGTGATTGTCAGTGAATGGATTCTGTTTTGTTGGTGTAATTTTCTTTCTCAGTTAGGGAATTACATAGAAAATCCATTGAAAAAAAGTTGCATCATCAAACACTCAAAAGTTAAGAACTGCAAGAATTAATTCAGCCCATCCTGTGCATGCATTACGACACTGTCTTGTTACATGATCACGTCTCTTCTAGAGAACCTTTTATCATTTACTTGCAAAGATGGATGACTTTCTTTTGAAAAGCATCTGATAACATTTGGATTTCTCAGTACAATATGTGGTCCTTGGTCTTCTTTTTCCCATGCTATTCAAATCCTGCTTGTTAAAAGGACCATATTTTCTCATTTTTCATATTTCTAGTGCACTCATTTCTTCAGTGTCTGAGTGCTTCACAAACATGAATTAATTTATCCTTCCAACACCCCAGTGCGGTGAGGAAAGACAGATTACCCCCACACTTGAAAGCTGGGGAACTGAGGCACAGAGAAGTAGAGGTCAACTGCATCTATTCATTTGAGGTGTTCAATATGAGATGCTTAGAACCTGATTTCTCAGAGTAGTTAACTTTCTATAGCACTTAATACAGTCAGAGCACTGCTCCCATTGACTTCAGTTGGAGGTGTAAGCACTCAGCACTTCTGCAAATCAGACCCCATGATCTCAAGTCGGGCACCTAGAAAATGAGGAACACATAGTTAGAGAAGACTTATGAAAATTCTAGCTTATATGATTTGATCAGCATCAAACAGGAACTGTGAGGCAGGGGTCCTGTAAAAAATAACCTATGGTCACGCAATTAAAAGATGTGTTATAATGCATATGCATGAAGGGGCACAGGCAGCCTTAATTCCTGCAATTCCTAATTGCTGAGCACTTGACTTTGCAACTTAAACGATATTCTTTTGATATCATTAATATCATTTATTGTAGACCTGGATGACTTTGGAAAATTATATATCTTCCCACTATGACACAGAATTCAGCTCAGAAGGATTTCTTGCAGAAACATTCATCTTGTAGAAATGCTTTTTTTTTAAAAGTCACATTTTTTTTCAAGACAAGGTAGAGGAAGTGGTGTTTCTTATTATTACTCTTTAACTTTTAGCTATATGAATTTGAATTTGCCTCCCATTATCACTACACAACTGTCATTGCATTATGGCATTGTCTTTTGACGTTGTCAAAAAAAAGCTATCTTGGTAAGTGGGTAACCTTAACGCTTCCTTTTTTATGCCCAAGCAGAGAAAGGAGCACACACAGCTCCCCCTCTAGGTGGGATGATAAATCATCAAGAAAGCTAGCCACGGTGTTGCCAGCAGTGCAGGGACTACCGTAACATATCCCACTTACGTGACAAATGTGCGGATTTATCCTAAATTCCAAAGGACTTGATCTCTATCCCTGTTAGCACCCCTAGGTGCAAAATGCATTACCACCTTATGGGACACACTCAGGCTTGCAATTAGGCTACGCTTTAGGTAAAGATTGTCTCTGCCTCTGCAATTAGCCAGTAATCCACACACACAAAAGTAAGCAAAGGCACCTACCTGGCAATAAAGAGTTGGGATTAAAACAGGGTATTGTTTTGGACTTTCCCTGAAAAAACGAATACAAATCAATCTCATCTCTAGTCTCTTATTAAAATGATGACGAATGGAGAGGTAAAACATGCTGTGTTCTTACAACATTAAGCCTTGAATTCCTGTGCAAAGCAACCTCATTAATAGACTCCATTTAATCATCATTGCATTTGTCCTTGCAGCTACACAAACTTTTTTTTTTATTCCATTTTATATTTTATTTCTAAGGTTATCTCAGCAATTTGTTAACTTTCTGCTTTTAGTACCTGGGCTCCTTCCAGGTCCCAGCCTTGAAATTCTCTACACAAAATTCAGGGGTTGCATACAAAGTGAGTTTAAAAAATGAGGGCCAAAGTGAGCTTCTCCTTGACTGACATGGATAACATTTAATAAAATAAAGCTGGTTCCACATATTTAATATACAAAAATTTTATATATGCCAAAAGTATGGTTGATGCTGACCCTCTGAAAGTTGTTAGTGTAACACACTCACAGGGACAAGGCCTTTTGTGACCTTCCTCTACTTGGCTGTCCTTTCAGTAATGAAACTACAGAGTTACATACATTATTGTTTCCTCTGACACCTTTATAAACAATGAGTTTGTAATATTAACCATCATTGCTGAAGTTTACCATATATTATTTGACTAAAAGAAGATTTTCAATTACATTCTAATAAGAGCTTCTAATTTTTCTACACTTCAGTATCCATGGAAGTGAATGGCTAACCATTCCAGAACATCTCATTAATACATATCAAAATCCTTTTAGATCGAGGGTAAGTATAATTATTTCTATGTTACAAAGACCATGAAGCAGAGAGATGGAAGTAACTTGCCCAAGGTGATTTAAGATAGCAGCAACATTCTGGAGAGCACTCATATCTCCTCAGTCCTGCTAGGCTTATTATCTGCACTTCAGAATCACACACATAATCCACCTGACATGACGGCATTGTGTTTTTGCTGATTTCCCACCGCAAGTTAATATGGGTGCTCAGTTCATCTGTTCTTTTCCTCTACAAATTAAAACCAGATGCGTTTGGAGATACTGCTGCTGGTGTTCACTAAGCACGGTGCAGTGCTTGCGTTCACACTGACTCCATGATAATCACCGAAAAGGTAGTATTTGCAATCAGTTACTGGTATAGGAGATCAAACCTTCTAGCCACCAGAAAAGGAAGTGACTTACAAAGATTATTATCTGAACACTGTAAAATGCTGAGGTTCTGATGCAGACCAACAAATGATGGCTTTCACACGTGGTTTTAGTACAGACACATCTGAAACCCATCTCTTGGCTTCATAGAGACCCTTTGCTCTCTTTCTGCCTGGTCAGTGAAGGACTCATTTCTTCCAACAATGCCTTACCTTGTACTGGATGTCCTGGAGAATTTCAGTTACAGCCTTTAGGCCTACATGCTCTTTTCCTATCTGAAACACAGCAAGCAAAGATGAGTTTCAGTATTTTTCTGTTTCAGAAACTGTGAGGCAAGACAGAGGTCAACCAGAACAGTAAGTTCTGTAGTTGTGTTTAGTTAAGGTACGCAACCTTCTGTGAACTAAATACACTGATACATGGCAACTCCAAAGAACTAAGTCACTATAAAGCCACCAATCAAAAGTAAATGAGGTGTAAATAACTTTAAAGCAGAGACAGAAACTTACAGAACAAGAGCAAGAGTCACAGTTAAGTCTGGTAAGTTTTGACTAACCCTGTTTTGCGCATAAACTGCATGTGGAGTCAAAATCATGCAGCATTATGGCATATAAATGCCAAGGATACAGTTTGTCCTTAGCAGTTTTTGTCAGAAAAGTACACAGAAAGGAACAGAGTGAACAAGCACGACAGATAATGTGTTTTTTTTTTAATGTGTTTTTATTTAATTTTTTGTTTTAAATAAAAATTTATTTAATGTTTTTTAATGTGTTCCCACAGAGTTGCAGATCTGGCCCAAGGTATATCTAAAGCTTGGGGGAGTTTTCTCCTGCCTGCGGAGTGCAGAATGGCAGATCCCCTCCCGCACAGCATCTCTGGGATCCTGCAGGAGAAAGCCGGGCTTCCAGCGGCCGACACCACTGCCTTTAAAGATGGGGCTTTCAAAAGAAAACCATTGTTGAACTAAGAGATTCTCTTTATTTTCCATGAACATTGTTCACTCTGCACATTGATTCCAGCTGCTTCTGATCCAAATCACCCATTCTAGGACCCTGGCTCTTACCCTCAGAACAACATTGTCAAAATAGGAAGACTCAGAACGGCCTTCCACTTGATTTCTTTGCCAGTGTGTACACATATGAGGTGAGGAATGAAGCAGGCATGAGTGAGAACAGGAAAGCTAGACTCTGAAATATTTGTTTGGGTTTTGTTTCTCTTGGAATAGAATGGCACAGTAATCACTGGAAGGAAACAACTGAATGTCAACAAAAGGTACTTTGTTATTTCTAGGAATTTTAGGAGGATTTTCTTTTGTTTGAGAATGGGATTTCAATTTAAAACCTTCGAAGTGCATAAAAGATATTGAAATCAATTCAAAGACATTGTTTCTAAATCAATAATCACCAAGGGCTGTCACTTAAATCAGTGAAAATATTTTCACTGACCTTAAAATCATGCATTTGAGAACTGTGGTGCAAAACTATTAAATTTCCATGCCTTTAACAGGAACAAATGGTCACTGAATTTCCTCTCCCTGTTCCTTTAATAAACAGCATAAATACTATTTTTCCTTGGTCATTTGTAATTACATGATTCATTTCTTGGCTAATGGAAAAGCCCTTTAGAATGCTTAAGAACTCTGATGATGGCGAGAGACCAGAAATGGAAAGTGTATCACTGAAGTTTCAGATTTATTTAAGAACTTATATATAAATTTCTAACTAACTCAAAGGTTACCTCTGCTGGAATTAGAAGGTGACTTACATAAGCAATTATCACACAGCCCTCTAGGATACAAACCTGAAGACTTTCTAACTTCCATTTTTAGCAGTTCTATCTGAGTGTTGGAGCTGTAAGCAATGTACCTTTAAATTCAAATAGAGGTAACGCTCAAAGGCACTCATAAACCTGTTATGAAATACGACAAATTAATAATATCACTGTGAAAGAAAATCCATTTGATCTAAGCATGAACCCCAAACTTCTTCATCCAAGCCCATTTAAATAAAACAGTTTGCCATTTCTCATGAGGAGGATGAGAATCTGGTGTTTGAGGTCTAAAACTAAAAATCATCTTTATAGCGTGCAGCCCTTGAAAAACCTTCAACAGCAATTAGATTATGGGTCTAACTTCACAGCTTGCATTACACCTTCTCCCCAGGAAGCTTTAAGCTTCCTCGTCACAGGCTTTTTCTGAGGGTCTGTGGCAAGACTTGTTACACTCTCAGTCTGGCGTCTCTGGAAAATTAATATGATCCCACCTCAGATTTGTCTTGTGTGAAGAAACACACTTGGCCCTGTGTTCAGAAAAAACACAATCCTACTACCAGTTTTTGGCTGTGCCAATGGGGTAGTAGGGTTTTTTCCCTCTCTTCTCCTCTCCTCTGCATATTTCCTCAATCCCCGAACAGCAGGCCTGGCCAGGAATGGAGAAGAACATACTACAGAGATAATGAAGCACTTGCACCTCCTGACAGCCATCATTCTGCCCTCAGAGGAATGGTGATTTGGTGTCTGCTTATAGCCAGAGTCACAGAGACAGGGCCGACTATGTATTATCCCCTCTTTAACTAACTTACTTCCAAAATCCTCTTTAAACAAGAAGTTCTTATTTAGCACATACACAGAAGATATGACTGAGAAGTATCTTTTGAATAGAGCAACAGCAGTCATACATTGGTCTTTTTTATTAAATCATTAGAAAGGAAAGAAAATGGAAAGGAACTCATTTTCCTCAGTCAAATGATAGCGCATAGTAACAAATGCAACACAGGAAACTCACCTGCACAAACAAAGCAATAATAGCTATGCCGTGCTTCTTCCCTACTGCCTCATCAATGCTGCTGTACAGTGTGGAGTTCCAGTGCATTAGATGAAGCTGAAAAAAAGCAGTGCAAATAGATCAATAGAGAAATATGTTTTGCAATAAAAAAACACCAGCAGTTAACATAATTAACAAAGCCTCAGCCTGTGTGTGTGCATGTGTGAATATACATATGTGCATGCCTATGGCTGTGCATGTATATATAATTGGATCCTATTATAAACATCAGGAATCACAAGGAAAAAAAAAGTCAGCTGCAGAGAAAGTGATGTAATAGCCAGTCACCAAATATCTACAACAAAGGTGTGAATAACTATGCTAATGATGTTAACGATGATTTACCAACGGCCTCACTTTGATTACTGAAATAACGTCAGCTAATGAAACACACCAGTGTTGCCTCTCAGCTAGACAGCTCTCTTTCCACGGCAGGCATATGATTATGGACATAGGCTGTCCAAACACAGGTTTCACTGGCTGACTGCACTATGTTACTGCCACTTGTCTCACCTATCACCTCCCAAGATGAGTCACTCAAATGTCAGCAGTAAGAGTAGAAGAAGTGGTTTCAGGAAAGGTTAAACATAGAGAAAGTTAAGCAGAGAAAATTGGCTGGAGGACCGCCTTAGGGACAGCAGTGAAAGGGATGCCGAGCCCTCAGCTGCCTTCTTCCACAAGGAGTTAATGTCAGGCAGCAGACACCGGATCGTAAACACGAAGTCTGTTCTGGTGAGGTGTCACAGCATGATTTGGGAAGTGGTGGCTGACAGAAGTGCTGGAAGACAGACTAGCAGGCGGTTGTAAAGGAAGGAAGACAGGGAGGGGAAGGAGGAGGGTGGGAAGGGGAGATGGGGGCAAAAGGGGAAATAGAAAAGTGCTGGAAAACAGATTGACAGTTGGAAAGAGAAAGAAAGAGGAAA